AGCTCACTCATTCTCCTCCATAGTATTTTATTTCCTTGTATTGCACAATAGAGCTGCACAGGATACGGGAGTAAAAGCCTCGTATTCATGGCCACAAAGAATGAGCTATTCATGGAGACATTCATCATTTGCCTAGAATTACTCTTTTAAGGGGGAAGGGAGGCCGCAAACATTTAATAAAATATCCAGAAGCACTGAGGTGTTAGCTATGGTTCTGTAGCAGATGTTAAGGCCTAATATTTTATTTAAGAATTCTTTGACTTATTTTATTTAACGGCTCAGGTTTCCCTATAATTTATGAAAGCTTTTCGTATGAAGCCATGAAAATAATGAACTCTCCGTATTCGGATTATAACCCAATATCACATGATTGGTTTCCTTTAGAAACATAACACAAGTAATTCTTTCCAGTGTTACCTTCTGCTAACACCATCTCAAAAAGGATCATATGTGAAGAGAAATGTGCTCTTCAGATTTTGTATTCTTTTCTCTTAATGAAGGAGCAAAAATACTAGTATTAAGTAGTGTCCTAAAGCTCTTACATTATTTTGCTGGTTCAGAAAACTGGTTGCATATCTCTCAAGGATATAGAAAAATATGTTTATACAGAAAGCAATGCTTTTGCTTCTGTTGATTATAAGTCACATAATATAGAGCGGAAAGAGGAGAATAAATGGAATTATCATTTTATTATTATCATACAATAATACATCATTGCACATATTTTCCTTTGCATGTAAAGATTTTATCAATTTTTTTTTAAAATGAATTTTTTTTATTATAAAATAATAAACTCCAAATAAGATAGATTTCAGCAAGTATTTACACTTCCATTTATTTTAGGGGCATACCAGCATGTTATTAAACTGCATTAGCTGAACCCATCAGAACTGTTCCAAAGCCTGCACCATATTTACTCCCAAACACATTCATGATTTATTTTCTGAATCTCTGGAAGCTTTAAATGGCACAGCAAACCTGGCTTGGACTCCAGGACCACATCACCTCTTGTTGTAAGGCAGCTGGATTGACCATTGCCTTTATTTACTCCTTTAAGAACTAGAATATGGGAACCAGTAGATGGTGTAATGGTTACATCACTGGATTCCCACGTAGTCCACAGTGGTTCACGTCCTGGACCCAGCAACTTAAAACTCACACTGGGCACGTGTGCATGCATGCACAAAATCCTGAGAGGAAAATTACAGTGACAGGATTATAGTGTGGCCATCCATCCCCCACCCCAGCCCGGTAGGTGATTTCTCTCATTCTGTCTCTCTGTTTCTCTCTGTCTCTGGAGAGCACATGCATCCCATAGCAAAAATCTCTTAAAAAAAGGAACCAGAATATAAATTTAATCATTATTTTTAGTAATGACAGATGTTTTTGCTAAAGTGAAAAAACAATGTAAGTACAATATTTAATTTAGAGAATGGGGAGTAAGCAAATTGGCAGGCAATGGCATGAACAGCCCAACACCTCGAAGCAGTCATTATACTGATCAGATGGGATAGAGTGAGGTTGTTCCACCTGGAGTAGGGGGTGAGGATGAGAAGAGACAGGGCAATTAAGACAGAAGCTCTGATATCCGAAATAGGCATTTGATACTGGGAGTAACGAGTTGAGAGTAAGCTGATTTCCTCTATTTCACTCCACCCCACCCCCAGCTCACTCATTCTCCTCCATAGTATTTTATTTCCTTGTATTGCACAATAGAGCTGCACAGGATACGGGAGTAAAAGCCTCGTATTCATGGCCACAAAGAATGAGCTATTCATGGAGACATTCATCATTTGCCTAGAATTACTCTTTTAAGGGGGAAGGGAGGCCGCAAACATTTAATAAAATATCCAGAAGCACTGAGGTGTTAGCTATGGTTCTGTAGCAGATGTTAAGGCCTAATATTTTATTTAAGAATTCTTTGACTTATTTTATTTAACGGCTCAGGTTTCCCTATAATTTATGAAAGCTTTTCGTATGAAGCCATGAAAATAATGAACTCTCCGTATTCGGATTATAACCCAATATCACATGATTGGTTTCCTTTAGAAACATAACACAAGTAATTCTTTCCAGTGTTACCTTCTGCTAACACCATCTCAAAAAGGATCATATGTGAAGAGAAATGTGCTCTTCAGATTTTGTATTCTTTTCTCTTAATGAAGGAGCAAAAATACTAGTATTAAGTAGTGTCCTAAAGCTCTTACATTATTTTGCTGGTTCAGAAAACTGGTTGCATATCTCTCAAGGATATAGAAAAATATGTTTATACAGAAAGCAATGCTTTTGCTTCTGTTGATTATAAGTCACATAATATAGAGCGGAAAGAGGAGAATAAATGGAATTATCATTTTATTATTATCATACAATAATACATCATTGCACATATTTTCCTTTGCATGTAAAGATTTTATCAATTTATTTTTAAATGAATGTTTTTTTATTATAAAATAATGAACTCCAAATAAGATAGATTTCAGCAAGTATTTACACTTCCATTTATTTTAGGGGCATACCAGCATGTTATTAAACTCATTTCACCTCATTTTTGTTTTTATTAAATCTTCAAACCTCTCCAGACACTAGCAATATGTGTAGCTGCTATTCATGTCAACCAAAACATTCACATTTTAAAATGAAAACTTTCTAAATGTGTTTATTTCTCTTTCACCTTTTTGGAAAATAAACTTTCAAAACTTATTTCTTTTTAACGAAGGAGCTGAGGCATATAAATTGCTGGGCTCACCTTCCCTTTTCTAGGACACATGAGTAAAAATAGCAACAGTCCCACAAATCAGGACGATGCCCTTGGCCTGTCATAAATTAATTCATTCAACAACTTTTATACAATATCTTCTGTATGCCAAGCTGTGTACCAGAAGCCAGGAATTAAAGACAAGCCACAGTCCCGCTTTCAAAGAGCTCAAGATCTAGTGGGGAAAACAAATTTGTCTCTAACAATTAACAGATAGTAAAGACTAGAGGAAGAATGATTTACCCAGTCTGTGGGACTGAGTTCAGAAGAAAGTGATATCTATACTGAGCTTTGGGGCTTGAGTAGGAGTTAACCAGATGAAAGAGAAGACAAGAAAATGCATTCCTTGACGACAGGGAGTGTTCTTGCTTTTAGTAAATAATTTTGTTTGGGTCATCAGAAGAAGGTTGGTGGAAGGGAGAAGTAACAGATGATTCCAACTCCAACAAGGTTTGGTAACAGCAAGAGACTTTTTTCAAGTTTTATTTATTTATTTATTTTGTAAAACGAGAAAGACAACATCTCCTATCAGGTCTTAATGCCATGACCCATCCCCAGCCTGTGGGCACACACATTCCTGACATTCTCAGAGAAGTCCCCATACTCAAACCTCAAGACTTTCTGCATGGGTCACCTCTCAGAGCATCATATTATACTATTGCACCACCATCCAGCCCTTTACATATGACCAATGTTAAAAAGTTATTTTTCTTCTCCTTCCCTTGTTTCTTCCCTCACAACCACCCCACAAAATCTGGTGATGGGATAGAGTTATCTCCTGTGTCAGAGCTCAGGCTCCTTCTATCTTCTGTCTCTACCATCTCTAGAGTATTTTCCTATTCATTAATGGGCCAGAATGGCTCAAGATTTCAGCCAGCCGGGAGAGGAAAGCATGACAGGCTCCTCTTCCAGAGTATCACCAAGAGCTGCATAAATCAATTCTGCTCAGATCCCATTGACCAAAACTTAGTCACCATATCTAATGGTAAGAAGGCTAGAAAGTCTTATTCCACATGGTCATATGCCAGCTAAAAAGTCAGAGGTCTCAGGCCAACCAGTGGCATAGTGGTTAAGGTGACGGACTCTCACACGGTTGTACAGTTTGAGTCCTGGACCTGACAGCTTGAAAAGCATCATGGGCACATGTGTATGTGTGCCCAGAATCACAAAAGGAGGGAGAGGGAGAGGCAGAGGAGAAGGGACTGTCGTGTGACCATTGCCTATGGAGAGGGGGTGTTTTCTCACTTCTCCACCCCACTCTTTCTGTCTCTCTCCTGTGAGTTCACACACTCTGGAAATTTTAAAATTAAAAAGCCAGAGGTCTCTTGTAATAGAATAGTCTTGGTAAATGTTTTCTGCAAAAAGCCAGATAGAAAATATTTTAGGCCATATATAGTCTCTATCATGCCACTGTCATAGTTATCGTAATTATCTTCTCCCCCCGCCCCTTTTCTAAGAGCTCTTTAATTGTAAACGTCATTCTTGGCTCGAGGGCTGTACAAAATAGACAACAGATCAAAATGGGCCAGTAGGCCTCAGTTTGCCAACCCCTTTTACATAAGAAGGGAAAAATCACACTAGGAGGAAAGTAGCCATCTCTGGCATAACTTCTGAAAGAACATAAGCCACTAAGAGGAAGAGTCTTGTCTTGTACCCCTCCCTAGTTCAACGCAGTGCTTGGCCCATATAGCAGGGGTTTTGTGTTTAGGAATGAATAGACAAATAAGTAGAAGGAAGGTAGAAGAGGTTCATTTAACATCAGCAACTTGTTAAAATCTCACTTAGTCCCAATGGTAATCTCATCTCTTGGATTATCATCTGAATACTTTATTTTCTCCAGAGTTCGAATAAAAGCCCAACAGAGAGCAGACAGAAGTGAGCCCACTGGGCTTTTCAGCACATGCGCCTCTGCCTTCAGTTGCCATAGTCAAGCACCTCCCAATCTTAAATGCAGTTAGGGCCCAAAGAGCCCACACATTGGAGTGGACCTTCCTATTAGAGAGCACCCCTCCTTGGCCACCACTTCAGGTGTCAACCCTGAGTGGGTGAGCAGGTTAGAGGAGCCACGTCCGACCATTTCCTCCCCTTGAATACCACGGTGGCAGGCAGGAAAATATTTTTGTTTTGCCTATTTAAATATCACATGCTTGACAGGAATATCAGCAGAAGTATCCAGGCTGAATAGACACTTTTTAGTTCCCCTATCTCTCCCGCTTCTTACTCAATATCCTGAGGACATCAGAGAACTTTTCTAAGTCAGCCTGGTAGGGAAGGGAGAAGAGGCGCACTCAACCATTCTTCTGGACAGACCCTGCCAAACTCCAGAAAACACCACAGTTCTCGGCAAACGGAGGCAGCACAACAGCCAAAGTGAGAGGAACCCAACCTCTTGCCCCTGGAAGACCCATTGAATGAGGCCATTCTCCCACATTTTTCTACAAGAGTCAGGTAACAGCTATGCCCAGGTTTCTTTTCAAATAAATGTGCCAATTTTGACAGTAGGTAAATGTACCACCAATAGATCCCGATGGCAAAGACTATGCTCACAGAATAACTGAAAGATAGGCATGCTCTGTTGGTAGATAGCAAAAGAGCTGAACACCAGACTGAAACTCTTGCCCCACTGTGGCCAGATACAAATGAGCAGATACAAACGTGGCCAGGAGTGGGTCCATCACGCTTTCGTAACTGGAGAGGGCCTCTCATGGTTTCCTGTTGCAAACTCTGGTGCCACTGGTATTAAATGATGTCTCAGGATGAAACCAGAAATGTGCCCCATTGACAGCAGAGTTGGGCACAGACCATTTATTTCATCCTGGCTCCTGACAAGCATGTGTTCATCCTTTTGATGAGAAAGAGCAACTCCCAATTTCCCCCAAGCCTTAAATGATCTGGCAGAGGGTGGGGTTCTTGTCAGATTTCTACACAGACTAAGGAAAGGGATCGGGCCAAATGGTGGTGCAGTGGTAACACAACTGGATCACATGGGAGAGGTCCTGAGTTCATATTCCAGGACTTTCCTGAGTGTGTCAGGTTCACATGCTTACCCATGATCTGAAACTGAGGGTTGACTGTGGCATTGAGGACCATTGTGGCATTGAAGATACTTGTGTGTGTGTGTGTATGTGTGTGTGTGTCTTCCTCTCTCATTGAAGAGATAAGTGAATGGACTTTAATTAAGGTGGTAGGTGGGGCTACACTGTCATTAATTCTTTCTGCTCAGAAGGATTTCTGGCAAACTGGAATAATGATGACAAACAAGCTGCAAATCATCCAGGAAGCCTTATCAGGGCAACCAGTCACTCCAAGTTTTCCTTGAAGTCATTGACCCTCTTATATGAATTACTGCTTTTTCTGAACAATTCACAAGGCCTTTTTCCCCCGTTTAACTAGATTTATAATTGATTTAATTAAAAGACAATGGGGGGTTGGCAGGTGGTGTGGTGACTAAGGGCGCTGGACTCCTACATGGCCGACCGTGGTTCAAGTACTGGACCTAGTGGTTTGCTTTCATACTTTCTCTCTCTCTGTGCTCTCTCCCTCTCTCTCTCTGGTCAAAGTGGAAAATGGACTTTAAAAAAAAAAAAAGACAATGAGATTCAGATCTGCCTCCTATCAGTGTGAGACTTTAGGAGAGTCACTTGACCTCTCTGTCTCAGGTTTATCATCTAAAAAGTGAGGGTGATAATAGTGCTTACCTCCTAAGGTTGGTGAGGATAAATCACATATACTTACTCTGTACTAATATGTAATAAGAGATTATTAATATTTGCCTTTTCTTAATACTTTGCCATTTAATACAAATTACTCTATGTAGAAAAATAGGTGGGATTTAACACCCCAAGCACAGTCATGGCTGTGTTTTTCTGTGGTTCGTGCTAGGGACTGCCAAGGGAGGTTTAATGTAGACAAAACATGTACATATTCAAGGTGAGACACAAACTTCATGTAGTTTAATCCTCCGATAAATCAATGAGAATTAATAGGTAGAAAGAGGTTGTTGGTTGTTCTGGCCAATAAAACCACATCTTTTTTTTTTTTTAATGTTTCTTTTTTTTATAATTATTTATTTTATTTATTCATTTATTTCTTCTTATTATTATTATTATTTTTTAATTTGACCAGAGAGAGACAGAGGGTAACGGTGAGAAAGAGAGGAAGTGAGAAAGTAAGCCACCAGATTCAGGACTTGAACCCTGGTCGGCCATGTGGGAATGTCCAGCACCTTAACTACCACACCACCTGCTGGTCCCAAAACCACATCTTTTGAAATATGCCATTAAAGGAGATTCTAAATAGCTAAGGAATTGGGGTATATTTGAGTGGCACTTGGAGATGTTCGTCTTCTGTTTCAAAAAGGAAAGTCTGGGAAGGAATCCACTTACCTTAGGAAATCATTTTAAAGGCTCAAGTCCATGCTGTCCTCTTGTCATTTGAATCCATTTGCTTAATGACCTCTGGCCTTCACATTCTCCCAGCTCCTGCTGGAATCCAAAGGCCTCTTCTTTGGTTTAGGAGCTCATAAAAGCTGGCCAAGAGGACCTGCCGCACTTGAACGCTCTGGCTGCCTGGCAGAGCAGTCACACTGACATCTAGTGGTCCAAAGGACTAAGCACAGAAAATTGATTTGAAGTTTTACCAGCCTCAGCTGGCTTTGAAAATCCTATTTTCCACCATTTGCGTCACATTAACAAGAGAGAGAGGTCGGGAGGTTAGAAAAAATTTTGTCTGAGGTGTTATCAGGTGCTTCCTCTGAGGGCGCATTTCCAATAACAAGAGCATGGAGCTCACTGGCAGGTTCAGGCTATGGTTCCTGAGGCTGTGGTTAAGACCATGGTTCCACAATCAAGACCTGAGCCTGCACCAGCTGTGGGCCTTGTGTGGTTTATGAATGGCTCCATGCCTTGATTTCTTTATCTGTATATTGGGGCTAACAGCAACTTTATGGTTGTCATGAAGTGACATTTGAGAACAGCGCAGCAACTCCTACCAGAGACAATCCACAATGCTATCTATTCTCATTGGAACGGTTGTTGTAGACCCTGGTGCTCAGCAGGTGGAGCAGCATAGGATAGTGGGAAGCCCAAAGAGTAAGTGAGTAGAAGACCCAGGCTCTAGTCCCAGCTGTGCCACTTTGGATAGATCACCTACTCAGTTTCTTCCCTGTAAGATGAAGGGCTTAAATTCACTGATGTTTGGGGTTTCTGCTTTCTCAAACACTCTGATTCTAAGGTAAGGCTTCCAATTGAAAATAGTCTACTTTGGGGACCAGCAGATGGCATAATGGTCATGTTGCTGGATTCCCATGCAGTCAACTGAGGTTCAAGTCCCGAACCCAGTGACTTAAACCTCAAGCCAGGCATGCGGTATGTGTGTGCCCAAGATCCCAAGAGGAGAATGGACAACAAATTGTGGTCGTCCATTATCTTAGGGGGTAATTTCTCACTTTCTGTCTCTGTCTCTATCTCTCTGGCAAGCACATTTGCCCTACAGCAAAAATCTAAGGGGAAAAAAAATGTTTTTAAACTGGCCTATTTTAAGGCCCATTTATATCTCCTTTCTTTTTACCAAAGCCCAGGACCAAGTGTGTCCCAGGTATTTAGTACATAGCTGCTGACTGATGAGAAGTGGAGATTGGAATCATCTGAATCGGCCACTAGGAATAAACGAAGTCTGTGTTTGGGCCCCAGTGAAACGCCAATGAAAAGCCTTAGAAGTCAAAGATTATTCCATCAGAAGCTGGTTTGGATTTTTTTTTTGATAAATTTCAAGTGCTCAGGGCTTGTCTTGTTTTTCTGTCTTTATAAAACAGCCTTTTTGCACAGACTAAAAACTAGGAAACCCACTTAGCTGTATAAATTCAATACCTACCTCATTCACAGTGTTGCTGAGGCCCATGCCATGGGGTGGTCAGGGCGGTACATGATCTTGCTTCCAAAAGCAGGTTAAAATGCCACCAAAGCTCCCCCACTGCCTATGACTAAGCTCCTGCTGGGTCTTTCCAAGCCAGGGATAATCTCAGCTGGGATGCCACCTCTGGTGACCTAAAAAACGAAATCATGAAACAAATTTTTCATCGTTCTTCCTAAACTTCACCTACATTCATGTCAAAGTAGGTGCTTTGATGCCCATAGAAATCTAACATGAAAATATTTGGGGACATGGCAAAAGAGGGCATTAGTTTCCTGCAGCTGTTGTAACAAAGTACCACAAACCATTAGGTTGTCGGTTAAGTCATGACATATTTTTCTATGTTTTTTCTATGTAAAAATGCAGTCATGACTTTTTTTTTTTTTTTTGGAGAGGTTTTCGCTATAGGGCATGTGTGCTCGCCAGACAGACAGAGAAAGAAGTGAGAAATCATCCCCCAGGGGGGGATGGCCACACTGCAATCCCTTCTCCTCCATTCTCCTCTCAGGATCTTGGGCATGCACGCACATGTGCCCAGTGTGAGTTTTAAGCCACCGGGTCCAGGACGCGAACCAAGGTCGACTACGTGGGAGTCCAGCACTAATTGCTGGTCCCTAGTCATGACTTTTCTGACGACCCAGTGGGTGGCCTACAACAACAGAAATGTATTCTCTCACAGTTCTAGAGACCAGAAGTCTAAAACCAAGGTGTTGGTAGGCTGCATTTCCTCTGAAAGCTCAAAGGGAGAATCTATTCCTTGCCTCTCCTACTTTGTAGTGGCTCTAGGCATTTCTTGGCTTGTGATTGCATCCCTCCAATCTCTGCCTATCTTCAAATGACCTTATCCTCCTCTGATGTCTTCTCTCCTGTATCTTAGAGTAAGATTTGCCATTGAATAACCTGAAAAACCCAGGATGACTTCATTGTACAATCCTTAATTACATTTGCAAGGATCACATTCATGGATTCAGAGACATGGAGCTATATTTTGGAAGGTAGGGGAGTGCTATGACGCAACCCACTATAAGGTAGAGGGAAAATTTATAAAGAACCAACATCTGTGGACGAGCAGATGGCATAATGGCAATGTCACTGGACTCCCATGTAGTCGACCACAGTTTGAGTCCTGGACCCAGTGGCTTAAACTCATGCCGGGCACACATGCGCCTGTGCCAAAGATCCCAAGAGGAGAATAGAAGAGAAGGGATTGTGGCATGGCCATCCCCCCTCCACTCCCCCCTGGAAGGGTGATTTCTCGCTTTCTGTTTTTCTGTCTCTCTCTGTCTTTCTGGTGAGCAAACTTGCCCTTTAGCAAAAACCTCTAAAAAACACACACACACACACCAACAAACAAAAACCATTTGTACTCCAATCCCACTTATTCATGCTGAACCAGGGTAACCCCCCAAAAGTTGGCCTAGTTCTTGCCATTGAATTTCTGTAACTCTTGGCAGGAGATAACTGATAAAGAAGAGAGGATAAGAGTAAGCAGGATTGGGCCAGCAGGTGGCATGGAAGTTAAGACTCTGGATCTCCCA